CAAGATTAACAACAAAACTTTCTAGCAACAAATTTCTAATAAAAAATCTCTGAAATGGTGTACACAATGATGCACATCTCAACAAAAAATTTATTTGTTGTTATTCTGAAATATATCTTAATCCTAATAGCCTACAACTCCCAGTAAATAACACCAAAAAAGTCATTGCATAAAAATGAAACAACTGTCAACACAGAAAGAGCGTCTTAAAATACATCTACTGTGATTGTAAGTTACCAGGCCATAGCTTTCACTCAGGTTTCCATAGTTTACTGTTGGCAGTGATGAATTACTTGCATAGTATTTGAAACACACACAACTGGCAGTTTACACTAAAACTTTTGGTAAATGAGATGGAAATGAAACATGGGTAAAAAATATTTAGCATTATCTAAAGGCACGGTCACACGAGCATTTCATCACTAACAAATCTTTGATAATGTAAAAGCTCTCCTAAGATGTGGACATTCTGTCACAGATTCCTACATGGATCAACTGAGTTTGAAGCACATGGACAGAATTGTTCAGAAGAGCGTAGAGAAACTAAATCTAATACTCCAAATGTGTATGGGGAAACAGTGGACTTATGCATGTGTTGCAATTGTAATACACATCATTTTTCCCATGTAACTGCACCTTAAGAGAAACTCTTCCAACTAATATGATTATCCAAAAGTTGGCAAAAATCTTATCAAATCTGAGAAAATACCTTTAACACCTGACTCAAATATATTTTCTTGCTATACTGTTGACCTGACAAATATATTGATAAAGGACCAGCTGTCACTGGACAATATCAAAAGTTTTAAAGATCTTTTCACTGCAGTACATAATTTAGCAAATGACCTTCATTTTCATCAATCATACGTATACACAAAATATATGTACATGTATGTATGTATGTATGTATGTGTACATATATATATATATATATATATATATATATATATATATATATATATATATATATATATATATATATATATATATGTACTGTATATATAGGTATATAATTCAGTCTAGAGCTATTCCTATTCTAGCTAAATTTGGCACTTTTGAGTGGACTGTAATTTGTGTTTATAGTAGTTTAATCTGAAAATGTTTTACAAATACTGAATTGGAGGTTGAAGATCATATGCACCATTCACTCTATCTATATTCCTCACTACAGAATGATGACTTCACCCTTCCTATCATTAACACAAAAGTTTCTAAAAAAAAAAAAAAAAAAATTTTCAAAATAAAGTTGCAAGGTATAGATAACTTGTATATGAAATGAAGCTATCAATGCACAAATTTGTGATTTCACACTACAGTCATTCTAATTTATGAGATAAGCATAGGCAAAACAGTAATTGAATAAAGCATGTTCTCACTGAAATTTTGATAATAATATTTGAAATACTGAGTTTTGTTTTCCTCATATTAGAAAACAAAAGAAAAAAAAAAAAGATAAAAGTGGTATTTTCTTACTTCCACCTCCAATTCAAAGAGAAAGAGAAGAGAGAATTGTGAGGAAAATGATGATGGTTTGATCTCATTCCTCAGATTTTGTCAGAAATCTATTCTGCTTTAATGTGGCATAACATTGTATTAATCTTTTATCTGCATACCACTACAGTATACCACATATTAAGAAATAATATAAGTTTCCTTGCTGCCAAACTTTTAGGAAGCAGATTCATATTAAAAACATCCTATTCACATATATCAATATTTCATATCATCACAAAAAATTAAAAATATGTTCTTTGAATATCAAATGTCTCTTGTGTTCTACTCTAATCTGTGGCAGATGTTTAATAATCAGAGAAGAAATACTGCAAAAAAACAGGCATTAAAAAACTAAATCTAACAGACTTGGAACCATAAAAATAGGGCAAACAGTAATGGACTTTTCCTTCATCAAAAACCCCCACTCCTTGAGATTATCTGGCAATTAGTGTTCCATCACTTCTATTATCATCTGTAACAAGGGCATAACACACCACACATCACTAAGGATTACTGATTTATCTCAATGTCACCGAGTCTAAAACACTACCTATCAACTCTCCATTTTCCCATCACATGCAGTCTTTAACAAGTTTCAGGCTGCAAAACACTCGCAGATCAAATTTATCCCAGCAAAACTCTCTTCATCCTAGCTGCTGGTTGTTCGTCTTCTTCGCTCTCTGACTCTGAAGATGAAGCCCGGTAGTAAGCTGGCGTCTTTGAGGAGCACCGTGAAGAACACAGGTAGTGCATTAAAGGCACTCTGTACATTCCACAGAAGTCAACAAATTTTATATGTTCCACACAGGATGTGAAGTACATGCCTGTTGATAAAAATATGAATGTTAATGACTAATCACCTTGTATAACATGTGAAACCTAATCATAATGAATGTTGAATAATTAACCAAATAACTATATTCGTAAATGAAATCCACAAAGTGAACACTAAAATATCAACCTAGGATTATTATTTTTTTGAGTCAGTTGACTCGGTTAAACAGGG